GACCTATTTTCAGTTGTGTTCTGAGCTTCGTCGGGGAAGGCCGGTTTTGCGGANTTAATATAGTAAAGTGTTCAAGTTTTTGCTTCAATTCTAAATTAAAATCTTTTTCCAATATTAACACCATAGTTAACTCAATAACTTCCAATTTCCTTCGAAGAATTTGACATTTTTTATGTGTTCGTAATATATTCCGGGTGATTTGTGTATTGGGGTGTAGGAAAATTGATCCAGTCCTATAGCGAGCCATACTAAGCTGCATCTAGAACAAAAGCAGGCTTTAAGGCTCATTTACATTTGGCAAGTTTACTGGCGGAAAGTACTTGCCGCCACTAAACTTGCTTGTTGTTTGGTGTTCACATATTTTCAAGTTTCTTGCTACACTGTTGAAAATAAAATGGCTCCAAGTGCCGTAGTTCGTGCTGCTGTTAAAGTGGTTGTCAGTGAAATTGCCAATAATTTAATAGTTATGTTACAACGCAAGAATTACGTACTTTAAAGTACGAAAATCGTTTTTTAAAAGACGAAATATTTTTATTTGGACAAGTTGTTCGTACAAAAGTTACATCAAGACTGAATTTTTAATAATGTAATACAAATGGTGAGAAATTATAATGTTGGCTTTTCCTGGAATGCCGGCTATTTGATACTGCAGCGTCGGCGCTCCTTGGCCGNATGAGAAGTCCTATTGCTCCTCAAATGAAATTGGAAGTAACATTGCGTTATCTTGCCACTGGTGACAGTTTTGCTTCCTTGCAGTATTTATATAGACTACCGAAAAGTACTATATCAGTATTTTTACCAGAGGTGTTTTTGACAATATATGAAGCCCTTGCGAACTATATAACGGTACGTTAATGAAACACCCACATTTTTTCATATCGTATAGTAATTTTTTTTGTATGGGTTTCAATATGATTGATGATTTCTTTTGGAGAGTATGCAATAATAGTTTGGTCATGAGTGCACATATTTTCAATGCTAGTTATATTTGGAAAAACAAAATACATTTTAATTTTGTAATACTACTTTAAATATTCTCATACTCATCATCAGATGCTAAGAAAGCCGATTCTCGAGCTTGGTGTAAAAGGTCGGAACACTGAGAATAAGCTGTGGAAGATGTGTTGTACTGCTCTGCATTTGTTGCTGCAATGGTTGTTGTTCAGTGTCTGAATAATAAGAATTAGTAGATGTGGAAGGTCTGCTGTCAAACTGCTTGTTGTCGACTCGGCGTACTGGAAAAATGAATTTCGTCGTTCATTTTTCGGTTTTGTTTCCGACGATGCCCGGCCAGGGAAGTGAGTGTACTCGTCGCCGCCGAAATCTCCACAAGAGACCAGAGCCGGGAAGTCCCCTTGACTCCCGGATGATCTTGTTTTCCCAGTGTAACCGAATTACACGAGAGAAAGTAGTTATTTTCTTTAAAATTCAAAATCGAATTATTTATTTTTAATTCCCTAAAAATATATCTAATTCTAAACACAAAAACTCGCGGGGGTACGGTGAGACACCACGTTGGCCGCTGGGACCGGTCTCAGAGTTTCCCTAACGATCCCTATCTACGAGAGACTCACACCGCGAAGTGACCTGCCTACAATTCTTAACTCCGAAGATGCGAATAGTCCCCGGGGACTCAGGGCTTTTAAGCCGCCGAGCGTCAATACAATGAGAGTCTACTCGTGAAGATTCTCGTAGACGGCTCGGGTAGGCGTACCTCTGGATGTATTCACTGTGGTTGCAGTCAATACGGCGACAGAGGCCTCTTCCTTTGAATCCCACGTCGAATCTCGGAGTCCAGGCAGGTACCACTGTGAATGCACACAAAAGTTAGTGAAATTGTCTGTTTGCTTACCAGCTTAAGTCCACAGCACACAGCACACGAATTCACTCGGAACTAGAAAGTCGAATCGGTTTAGTTTGTCTTGAAAAAGACAGATTTGTTTGTGATCGTTGTGATCATAACGAATTCTTTCTGGAGGTAATTTTTGTTTTTAATTAAATTACCTCCCAAACACTTGACTCGTAATTGCTCTGGCAACAACCGTTGTACAACACTAATCTGCAGCCAATACCCAAGTATCCTTTCTGCTATCTGAATCGGGTTTTTGCAAACATGCCACCGTCTATTTGTTTCCACAAAAATCTCCTAGGTTATCCCACTGGATAACGAACTCCAAACTATTAGTCTAACCAGACTAGTCCGAATTCTATTCGAGTTGAGAACTCTTTCTCAACGCAGGAAGTTGGAAATGTAGCCGCTACTAATTTGTAGTGTATAATTTAACACACGTCGGATGTACAGTGAAAAACTAACAATCGTTTTACGATGGTTGAATAGCAGAACTTGAAGGCAGCTAGGCGAGTCATCGAACAGTGTCCGAAAAATCCATTTCGCGTTTCTTAAATATAACATCGCGAAAGAGTTTCTCGCGCGTGGTTGGCTGGCGTCAACTCCGCCTACCTCGCCGCGAGAGCGCAACGCGAAATGAATTTTCGTCTGCTCCTGAACGTCGAGTATATCGGCGTTCAGGCTACCGTCCGCCGTTTGGACTTTGTCCTCCAAAACGGTTTGGGTTTGGAGGACGGGAGGGGTGCTCGTAGTCCAGCCGGGTGCGCTGGACGTCACCTTCCCATGCTCCATTCACCTCGGTATGGGCGGAGGCGTGCACAGCTACACCGACCCCGCCGGTTACCTCGGTCACCGTTTCTTCACGTCGAGACGGCCGGCAGGCCTCCCAGACCTGAGTCCCAGGAATTTCGGGACTCAGCTTCTGTCTGAGCTCGACGGAAGGCTGGTTCGTTGCTTCGACTAGCTCGTTGAATGCCTCGATTTGTTTGAACAACCTCGCCCGCCATGAAGGCATCCCCAAGGCCCAGCTGCCTTCAGGATGCCCCCTGGCATTCCACCTCCCCCTAGCACTTCCGCTAGGGCCTCAGTTGCTTCGTTGAGAGATGTAAGGCGCTCCTGTGCACCAAACATCTCCCTCCCAGGAACCACTAAGGGTTTGGGCCTGGGGGCGTCGCGACGCCTGGCGTCGGACGACCTGTCCTGCTCCTCCGTTTCTACGTTTTACGCCCGCCGGCGACCCGTCGAATTCACATCCCACGTCGGAGTACCCATCTCCCAGGTACTCGTCCCTGAAGATGTCCTCTTCACTTCCGAAACCCTCCTGATCTCGGTAAGCCTTTCCGCGTTTAACGCCCGCCGGCGATTCCTCTTCATTTCCGAAATACTCAGTATTTCGGAAAACATTTCTGCGTTTAACGCCCGCCGGCGATCCAGATTTGAGTCCTCTTGACCAAATCTCAGCTCTATTTTTGCGTTTAACGCCCGCCGGCGATTCCTCCCTGAAGAGTCCCACGTTGCACTCGAAACGTTCCTCGTCTCGAGTGTGTCGGCTGCTCCTGCATGAACTCTTGTCTGAGGTCGACAATGGCCTTGTAAATTCGAAATTGGTCAGTGGTACAGGATGGCTGTAGACCCTGTACATGTTCACTTTAGGTGTCTCTACATATGTAGCTAACACCTCTCGTTGCCTGAAAATCTCTACGTTTTCAGACAGAATTGTCTTTGGAGGGATTCCATCCTCCATCTGTTTCATCGCCACCGATCTTGGTATAGCGGGATTTCGTGTTGACTTTAGCATAGCGCGGAGCCCTAACTGGGGCGCGCTTTGTGCTTTCGAAGTTTTTCCCTCATTGGGAAGCTTCTCGGAAAACATCTCCTGATGTTCCCTTGCTACATTTTCCTCCTGGAAAATGCTATTCCGCTGGTTCTCCGGAGTTTTAAATTCCCTAATTCGATTTAACACAAATTGAATGTCCGAATTTTTGCTGCGGTTTGAGGACTGAGTCCTTTGAGAAGTTTCGTTCTTTCTAACTAAACGACTTGCAATGGAGCCGAAAGTGCCACGGTTTTGTCGCTCTGCGACCACGGAAGAGGTACTAGTGTCCTCATTGATCGAAAAGTTTCGGTTAGCATGAGACATCCTCAGACTAGATGTCTCAGCTGGAGTTCTGGGAATACTGCGTCCCGCGAACACAGATTCCATTGGGAATCTGTGTTCGCGAATTCTCTCAGTTCTAAAAAGAACTACAAAATGTCGATGAATCCTTTGAAATATTCACGAAGAATATCCAACAATCCAATCGTAATAATCTCTTTCAAATGTTAGCCAAGGAATATCTCAATCGCCAGTAGAATATCGCAAGTATAGAAGTCTTTTCAAATCTCAATATTACGTGTTCTCAATCTGAAAAGTATCTGAACGAATAATGCAAAACTCTGCATATTTATATGTTTGTGGACGAGCTCCAATCGGCCAATCATATCTCTCAACAAGTCACATCCACTTCGATTGACTAAAAAAATCAATAATCACGCCATGCCCACCAGCCAATCAAAAGCCGGCTAGCCGGTGACCTGATTTTGCCCTGGGGCGAGACCGTTGCGAACAAACAACTGCCTAACGGAAAGTTTGAAATTTGCGATTTTCCAACTTTTTCCCCGAAAAATTTCAACTTCATATTCGAATAGAATTCAACAATCCGAAACGAAATTACTGATGAAATTTTCTCGATATCTCTATTCCTTCTGGCTGTAAAATGCATTTGAAAGTACAAAGTGCGAGATTTGGTCGAAGCTATCGAAAAGCGATTCCTCCGATACTTCTAATTCCAAATCCGACAAAAATCTAAATAAAATCTGAACCAGTCACGCTACAGAAATCGTTCTGGTATCAAACGAAAGCTAATTAAACCCTGCCCTAAGATGTTGCACGGCTATTCGAGTTCAAGTGCCTGAGAAGCAATTTCTTTTTCTCTTTATTTTTTCAAATAACATATTTACAAATTCATAGATATACAATTGGTCCTTAATCCTATATGTACAACAATTTGTATCCCCTTAAACTAACTAAATCTACTGTACATGTCGAGGCATCACAGCCGCCTTTCAGCTCCGCTCTCGACCTATTATTTACAATGTAAAGGCTTTTATGCTAGGGATCTAATTCCGGATGCCTCGGATCTAGATGATCCTGGCCCGGTCTCGGAGGAGGCGCTAACCGCAAGTCATTAATATGTATCGTGCGATCTTGACCGCCACGGTTCACGATGTACGTATTTACCCCCAATTTCCGGATCACTCGAGAAGGGACTGACCAGGTCTGGCCGAAATTTTTCCTGATTAACTCTGAATTTCGGCAAAGTACCCAGTCTCCTGGCCGGAAATTCGCCTTTGGCTGTTCGTCGCGATTCGGAAAAATCCTTTCTCTGTAACGCTCGGCCATCTGATTGGCTCTTTCTATCCTAGCCTGCCGATTCTGGTTATTAGTCCTTCGTGAGTGCTGCGCAGGAGTAGCCCATTCTCCGGGCTTGGGAATTTCATATCCCAGCAGCAGTTCACTAGGAGTCATTTCCGTAGACGCGTTCACCCGTGTTCGTAAGTGAAACACTATTACCGGTATATGCCGCTCCCACTCAGCTTCCGGCTTGTCTATGAGGGCGGCGCGGAGCATCTTCTTGATTTCCTGCACCCGCCTCTCCACCGAATTGGCCTGCTGGTGGTGCGACGGACTCATCCTGGACACAATATTATGGGATTCGCAGAATCGTTCCCACGTCGCTCCTAAGTACATCGCCGCGCCGTCAGTTATTATAGTTTCAGGGAAACCCCATCTATAAAAAACCTCTTCCAACAAAAACTTCGTTACCACTCCTGCTTGGACGCTCTTATAGGCTTTAGTCTCAAGCCACTTAGAAAAGCAGTCCACCGCGACAATTAAGTACTTGTTCCCACTCCCCCTGCTGGGTAAGGCCCGAGAACATCGACAGACACCATTTGCCGTGGCCTTGTCGGTTCAAGCGGCCGTTGTCCCGCTGGGAGTTGTGGCTTCGACGCTTTAGTGGTAGTGCAGGTCAGACATGTTTTTATATATTCCTGCGCTTGTTTTCTCATGTTGGATCAGTAAAAATGACGACTCACTTGATTAATGGTCTCGTCAATACCGGGGTGTCCGCCTTCGTCGTGGTACTTGCGGATTATCAAGTTCTAACAACGTCTGGGGACTAGCAGACGCTTGCAGTTCCTTTCTGGACCTACATAATATAATAAATCCCCCTCCATTTGGAAGTCGTTAATGATTCGCTGTTCATATTCGTTCGGTTCAGAATTTCCTCGCGCTCTCTCAATGCGCATCCTGAACCGACGAACTCCCTCGCTTGACTTCTGTTCTTCGACTATCTGGTCGAATAAGGTTCTCATTTCTAGTAACGTTTCAACCCCATGATACAGGGATACCATATCACAGGTGTTGAATATTTCCGCGACCTCGTCAATCAAGCACAGAACGATATCTTCCTCACTCTGGTCCTCTATCTGTCGTTCCTGGTGAGGGAGAAACATCCTCTCTGATTCCTCTTCCAAATCAGCCTTTGTTTCCACCTCCTCGGGATTTCGGGAGAGAAAATCTGGAAGTTGATTCAGCTTCCCTGGCACATGTACGACTTCGAAATCGTACTCCTGCAGTAACAGCGCCCATCTAGTCAACTTGGCTCTTTCGTCCTTCATACGACCGAGCCAAGTCAACGCCGAACTGTCTGTTAATAGGGTGAACTTACCGTCCTGCAGGTAGTGCCGATATTTCTTAATCGCCCATACTACGGCCAGGCACTCAATCTCATTGATGTGATAGCGCCTCTCAGTCTCGTTCAGCTTCGCGCTGCTGTACGCTATCACATCACGCTCTTCCAGTGTTTCCCCCCGCTGGAACAGTACCGCTCCAATCCCCACCTGACTAGCGTCCGTCTGCAGAAAATAGGGTTTCGCAGGATCAGGCCTAGCCAGGTGTAGCGGTTGCGATACTGCCCGCTTAATCCGTTGGAAGCTTTCCTCGGCTTCCGCGTTCCATTTAAATTTGAGTTTTTTGTCAATCAAGTCTGTTAACGGGGCCGCCATTTTCGCAAAATGTGGAATGAACTCCCGTAACCATCCTGCAGTTCCCAAAAATCCTCTCAACTGCTTAACCGAGGTTGGTGTTGCAAAATTCCTTACGTTCAGAATATGAGTCTCCTGCGGGAAGTTTTTTTTTTCGGACACGACTCTCCCCAAGTAGTTCAAGGTCGATGACCCGAACATACATATCCCTGGGGATATGTATGTTTATTTATTATTTTTGCATCAAACTGGATCAAGGAACCCCTTAGGAACTAAAAGAAATATTGATAAAATCCCCTTTCATCCTTATTTTTCATTTAAAGATTTAGTTGGATTTATTATTTTATTATTCGCATTAATTTCCTTGACCTTTCCTCCATTTCCTCCATGTGTCCTCAAACGTTCTAATATTAGCTTTAAATGATCGCAGTGTGCCTTGACATTGTCAGAATAAACAATAATATCGTCAAGGTACACTTTACAGAACTTGTCTACATATCCTGATAGCACTTCGGACATGAGCTTTTGGAACACGGCCGGCCCGTTTTTAAGTCTAAAACTTAGGACCTTGAATTCGTACACCGAACCATCGGGGCCCCCGAAGGCGGTGTACTTTCTAGAATCTTTTTCCAACGGAGCCTGCCAAAATCCGTTATGCAAGTCCAAAGTGCTAAATATATTGGCCTTACCCATCTCTCTTACTGTCTCCTGGATGGGAGGCAAATGTGGTGCTTCCGAGACTATCAGTTTGTTAATCTGACGGTAGTCCACGCAAAAGCGTAGCTTACCGTCTTTCTTGGGCACTAGAACTACCGGGGAGCAATAAGGGGAGGTACTCCTAGTAATCACCCCAGCTTCTAGTAGTTTCTGGATTTCCTCATGGACGATCCGTTTACGCTCCTCAGACATCTTGGCATAACGCATTTGCCTAAACGGCTTCTCCTCTTTAACTATAATCTTGTGGAGAATAGCCTTTGTCTGAGGTTGGCGTATCGTCTCTTCAAAAACGTCCTTGAACGTTTCCAATACTGGAAGAATTTCCGATTTTGTCGCCTCGTTGAACTGTGAGTCATCTAGACTCAGAGGCGCGATATCTCTCCCGGGCCTTCTGAGGGTTTCCCCTTCAAAAAATATTGACAACCGAGGAGCTTGTCCAAAATAAATGGTATTCCTAGCTAAGTCTAAACTGGCTTGTTGACCTTTCAAGAAAGGCATACCTAATATGACCTTTTCTTGCAAGCCCTTAAGGACAGTGAACTTTAGCTGGAATACCCTCTCTTCTATATATACATCTAGCATAATCTAACCCAAACTCCTAGTAATATTCTCAGAACAACCCATGAGGACTATTCCTGAGTTTGGGAGATTTTTTAAGCTCATGTGGGACACTACATCTGCCCGCACAAAATTACTGGACGCCCCGTTGTCTATTAATGCTGTTACAGCTTTGTCATTAATGACAACGGGGATCCTAGGGAGGGATCGACCGAACCCTTTTGGCTCTTCGTCGAGTGGGGAAAGTACTTCAGAGAAGCTATTTATACACGGGGAAGAAAAATCTATATTTTTTAGATTATTCTGGCGATTTATTAAGTTGCACAGGCCATCGCCACTTGGCACTGCGCAACTTCCTAGTTTTCCTGGCTAGTTTCTTCTAGGACGTTGTTGACATTTCTCCTAGGTGGAGACCTGTCTCTGTTTTGAAACCGCTGGTTTCCATTTCTCTCTGAGGACCCTGCGGACGGAGGCTGCTGTTGCCTGTTTTCATTTCCCCTGTTATAGGGAGGGACATACCTCGCGTTGTTCTGCGAGTTTGGATTGTTTTGTATCGGCCCTCGATGCTGATTTGGGACTTGGGCATTCACTACCTTGCTGGTTGTCGGCGCTTTTGAGAGCTTGATATCCTCCTCAATGGCCGACGCATCCTGAAGCAGTTGTTCTAATTTGTCAGGGACTCGTCCCCTGAAAAAGCATCGAATCTCCGGAGAGATCAACTGAACAATAATGTGCATAGCTCCTTGTTCATCCATCCCCGGAAACAGTCTTTTCGCCAAGCCGATCTTCTGTATGATAAAAACATCCGTTTTTGTGTTCCGGGTTTGTCCCTCTCCATAAAACTTAGCCGTTAGCTTAGCTAACAGCTCAGGGCTATCAAACTTTTGATTAAATCTGTTAATCAAAATCGGCCAAGTTATTTGGCTCTCCCTGTACACGGCCGCCCACTTGGCAGCATCTGAATCTAATTGACCGCAGAAAACCTCTACCCATTCTTCCTGCGATATCTTCGCTTTCCTTAGCTCATTTTCTATCCTGTCTACGAACCGTTTCGGGTCCTCATTTTCTAGGCCTCGAAACCTTGGAAGGTTCTGTCTATCCAGACGGTTTCCCCCCTGATTAGCCGAATGTCCTTGGCCCATTGCCACTGATAGGACATCAGCTAATTCATTTATTGCCTGATCAACAATTTTTATTTGTTGATTATCCTCTATCTTTTCTGGGCGCCATCGAGTTTGTATTATGCCTGAACTCGAAAAAGGCATATCCTCACTGAAATTCACATTTTTTTTCATCTCTTTTTGTGAATTTCCCACTTTGGGGAACGATTCTATTTCACTCCTTACTATGAATGAATTTCCAAAAGCGTCCCTGAGTGTTACCTCATCTTCCATAGCCATTGCTAAGAATGGGTTTGTAGAAGTATTTATATATTCGTCCATTTCCAAAAATGGATTTATTGCTGAATTTGGAACTGATTCCATTTGTGAATCCATGGCCCCACGTTGGCCAGCGCCATGTTGTCGACTCGGCGTACTGGAAAAATGAATTTCGTCATTCATTTTTCGGTTTTGATTTCGACGATGCCCGGCCAGGGAAGTGAGTATACTCGTCGCCGCCGAAGTCTCCACAAGAGACCAGAGCCGGGAAGTCCCCTTGACTCCCGGATGATCTTGTTTTCCCAGTGTAACCGAATTACACGAGAGAGAGTAGTTATTTTTCTTTAAAGTTAAAAAAAAATCGAATTATTTATTTTTAGTTCCCTAAAAATCTATCTACTTCTAAACAAAAACTCGCGGGGGTACGATGAGACACCACGTTGGCCGCTGGGACCGGTCTCAGAGTTTCCCTATCGATCCCTATCTACAAGAGACTCACACCGCGAAGTGACCTGCCTACAGTTCCTAACTCCGAAGATGCGAATAGTTCCCGGGGACTCAGGGCTTTTAAGCCGCCGAGCGTCAATGCAATGAGAGTCTTCTCGTGAAGACTCTCGTAGACGGCTCGGGTAGGCGTACCTCTGGCTGTATTCGCTGTGTTTGCAGTCAATACGGCGACAGAGGCCTCTTCCTTTGAATCCCACGTCGAATCTCGGAGTCCAGCAGGTACCACTGTGAATGCACACAAAAGTTAGTGAAATTGTCTGTTTGCTTACCAGCTTAAGTCCGCAGCACTGCACACGAATTCACTCGGCACTAGAAAGTCTAATCGGTTTGGTTTGTCTTGAAAAAGACAGGTTTGTTTGTGATCGTTGTGATCATAACGAATTCTTTCTGGAGGTAATTTTTGTTTTTGATTAAATTACCTCCCAATCACTTGACTCGTAATTGCACTGGCAACAACCGTTTGTACTGGTATAGCAAATAATGT